CAACTGAGGAAAGCTGGGAATGAGAGAGGTGGTCCTCCCCAGGGAAGAATACACCAATTAGTGGTCCAGTGCCAAATAGTCAGCCCTGAAAGCATACATACAAGTAACATTATATGGACTCAATAGGTTATACTTTGGATATATATATCCAAAAACATAAGGCATATGGTAACAATTGATTAAAAAATAGAAGCCATGCATTTAAAGGAGAGCAAAAAAGGAGTTTAAGAGATGGCTTGGAGAGTAGAAAGGGAAGGGTGGTATATTGTAATTAAATTACATTATCAAAAATAAAATTTAAAATAAAAGAAGATATCTGTTCCATTCCTTCTCCATAAAGTTCCTATATCCTTAGGCACTGGGAGCCTGAACCCAGGATGCACATGGAGGCAGAAGGAAAACTAGAAAAATGAAGCTCTTTCCAAACTTTTCTGTTGCGGGGGAATTGTTTACAGTCAGAAACTGCCAATAAAATTAAGCCTTAATTCCAAGGGAAGAGCCCACATTCAGCTGGCTAGAACAAACCACGGAGTCTTGGTGGACTAAAATGAGGAGAGAGACATTAGGAGGTAGGAGAGGCTTAAAAAGATTCTCAGACTTTTCAATGTGGAAGATGTGGATAGTGGGGTCAACTGATGATTCCTTGGCTATTTGGATGTATTGGGTTTTTATCTCAATTTCTGACTCTGGAGTTTTTGTTAACACTGGAATAATTAGGGTAAACACTTTGTCTGGCATCAAATGCTTGGGAAGATCGTGCAGTGACTTTTAAAGTCACCATTTCTCCATGCTGTGGCAGGTCACCAGCTTTCCCAGAGAGGGGCTTTATCTGATGTGGTCTACAGCTACACACCCCAGCACCAAGTCATCTGGGGCCTCTGCTAGCCACCCGAGACAGCCGCTCATTGCTGGCTCTGTCATTCGGGCTGACTGGCTCTCCTGTGCCCATCCTAGCTGCAGGGCATCTGCTGCCTGTTTTCTCCTTGCCTTTGCTTTTCAGGCATCAGAGGCCCCACTCTCAGCACAGCCCAGCACAAACGCCTGGGCCAGCCTCCTGGAATGACCACCTCCTAGGTCCTTCCTGTGTAGCCTGGCACAAGTACCTGGGTCAACTGGAGCTAGTTCTGCTGCCTGGCTACCCCACCCCAAGCTTGCATACCTTCGCCTTCAACCGGGAATTCAGGATGCATACATATGTATCATGTTAAGAATGGTGACTATTATGATATAGGGAGTTAGGTTTCTGTATGGTTCCACAATAGATGGCTTAAAAATGGAAAAATTAAAGGAAGGGATAATCAACTTAGCAGAGATTGGCATAATGTTGATTACAATTATTACCAGTTTGGTAATTCATGCTTTATCCTTAAAAAGTGGTTTGATATCAATGTCAAATATGAAAAATTAGCCGATAAGATAACAATCCTCAGAAAGACCTACTAATGAAACTATTCACACACAGACAGAGGAACTTAGAACAGAACCTACTGCATCATTGCATTAGGGAATTGAAGAGGAGTGGTTTATTAGAAAACCAAACTTAATTTATCCAGCTACCATATCAGGATGACTACCAGGTGATAAACACCCCCAAGGCTATGGAGAATTTAACTGGAATCCTGTCAAATTTTAGATTTAAAGAGATTTAAGGAAGCAGTTGTTTCATATGGTATGATTTAACCTTTGTGAAACAGATGTTAAAGTCGTGGGCAACTCAGAATAGAATTATTCCACAGGACTGTAAAGATTTAGCTGCAGCAATATTGGAAGTTAATCCTCAGTTACAATGGAAACATGGTGAAGAGACGACACTAGGCTAATAGAAGAACAAGGTAGGGCTAGGAGTTTATGAGATTTTCCAAGACCAGCTTCTCAGTGAAGGTCAGTATGCTGATTTTTCAAAGACAGTTTAGATATAATGATCACACATTGGCTCTATGCAGCTTTGGATACTTGCAACATGGTTGAAAATCAGGAAAGGAAACTAATTCATTTTCAAAAATTATACAAGTACCAAAGGAAACATTTAATGATTTTTTTTTACAAAGATTGACTTCAGCTGTGAATAGAATGATAGCTAATCTAGCAGCTAGACAAATGTTAATTGGATCTTTGGCTTCAGAAAAGGCTAATTCAGAATGCAAAGCGTGACTAGGACTTTAAAGGTGAGACTAACATCCATAGAGGAATGGATCTGAAATACAGTTGATACTGGTCCTCACACTTACGATGATACTTGGATAGAAGAAGTGATTTCTAAAAATTTTAGAAAAAAATCAAAAGGACAGAAATTGTAATTGTGGTAAACAAGATCATCTGAAAGGGGATTGTAGCGATTGTTCCTAGAAATGATGATTTTTTTTCTAGAGATAATTCAAACAGAAGGCCCCAGTCTTCTGGAATGTGCAGATGTGGCAAAGGCTGGCACTGGACTAATGAATGCAGATCAATAAGGGACAGACAAAGTAACCCTTTGCCATTTGAAATGCCTTAGGGGACCTCCTGCAGGCCCCAATGTCAAATTTGGTTCAATTATTCCCTGTCAGCATTGGGGAACCTCCTCCACAGAGTAACTAAAAGACCTAATACCTATTGTTAAAACCCATACTGGGGCCAGGAGGTGGTGGCGCACGCCTTTAATCCCAGCACTTGGGAGGCAGAGGCAGGCGGATATCTGTGAGTTAGAGGCCGGGTTGGACCGATAGCCTCCAAAACAATACAGAGAAACCCTGTCTCGTAAAAACCAAAAAAACAAAACAAAACAAAAAAAACCCATACTGTTCTGGATGATGTAAAAACTTCATTAGATAAAATAACATTTTCAGGAGAAACCATAAAACAAATATTTTGGCAAACTTCTGTAAATGATCAAAGATCAAAGCCAAAAGCACAAATACATGACATTGTGATCGAAGGATACATGTCATTGTGATTCAAGGTTCAGTATACACAGGTAAGATGCAACAATAATTTCACAAAAATCTTGGCATTGAGGTTGGCCTCTTCAGGAGGTAAATACTCAGCTTCTAGGAATTGGAACTTTACCTCAGGTTAAACAAAGCACAAGGTGGGTCAAGTGCATAAGGCCAGAAGGATAGGTAGGGAAATTAAAACCATATGTGGCTAATTTAACAATGAATTTATGGAAGCAGTTGTTTCATATGATATGATTTACCCTTTGTTAAACAGATGTTAAAGTCATGGGCAACTCAATGATTTTGGAATGGAAAACCTAGATTAACATTTCTCCAATCTCAAAAACAAACCGAAACTAAAGTATACTTCTGAAAAAAATTGTTAAGAGGCATTATCAAGAGCAATCATGTTGTTATCAACAAACCATTCAGGTTGTACATAAGCAGGACACAGTAGCTGCTGATCTTTCAAAGGTACCAACAGCCCTACCTTTAAAATGGTTAACTGACAAACGTGTGTAGATGCAACAATGGCCTTTAATATCAGAAAAATTACAGGCACTAGAACAACTGGCACAAAAGCAGCTAAATGCTCAACATATTGAAGAATTGAGCAGTCCTGGGAATTATCCTATATTTGTCATTAAAAAGAAATCTGGAAAATGGAGAATGTTAACAGATTTAAATAAGGTGATTAAGCCAATGGTCTCTTTTTGCCTGAAATTTCCTTGCTTTTTTTATTATCTAGAGGACTATTATCATGATTGATTTAAAAGAATGATTTTTTTACTGTACCTTTACAAGAACAGGATAGAGAAGAATTTTCCTTCACAGTGCCTGCTTATAATAATTCTCAGCCTATTAAAAGATATCAGTGGAAAGTTATCCCACAAGAGATGTTAAACAGCCCTACCTTATGTCAATATTTTCTAAAACAGTCACTAGAAATAATACATAAATAGTCCTTCAATATATAATTTACCATTATATGGATGATATTTTACTAGCCAATTCAGACTCAGATACCTTAGAAAAATATTTGAAGAGTTAAAGAAAAACTTGCCTTGTTGGGGATTACAAATTGCTCCTGAGAAAAAATACAAAGAGGGGATTCTATTAATTACTTAGGATATAAGACAGGTCTACATAAAATTCAACCACAAAAAGTACAAATAAGGAGAGATCAATTTTGAACTCTTTATTTTTTATTTTTTATTTTTTTGGCTTTTCAAGACAGGGTTTCTCTGTGTAGCTTTGTAGACCAGGCTGGCCAATTTTGAACTCATAATGATTTTCAAAAATTTATGGAATATGTTAAGTGGTTATGGCCCACAATTAGCTTGACAACTCAAGAACTAAGTAATTTATTTAAAACCTTACAAGGCGATAAGTACTTAAATAGTCCAAGAAAATTATCAGCTGAGACAGACAGAAAATTGGCTTTGGTAGAAAGAAATTACAGGGTGCACATGTGGATCATTTGGATCTAGAGCTTAATTGTATTCTGGTTATTTTACCTTCCATACAGTCTCACATAGGAATTTTTATACAGAGAGAATAATATTTTAGAATGGATGTTTTCCACACAAAAAAATTAAAGACCTATGTAGAAAAGGTTTCTAAATTGATTCTGAAAGGAAAATTAAGACTTCATCAATTAACAAAAATAAACCTAATGAAAATTGTGGTGCCTTTTACTAATGCTGAAATTGCCTCATTATGAACAGAAAATAAACATTGGCAAAGAGCTAACAGTACTTTTTAAAGGTTATTTTTGTTATACTGTATATATGTTTCTATTTTTTAAGGTATTGTACAGTAAAATTTAAAATTTTAATGTAGAGTTCTAGTCTTTGAAAGCTATTTAGGATAATAAAAATACAGATTAGTAGTTATTTATAACAATGAGACTTATAGTCATGTTAGATATGTTTTCAAGGTCAAACAGAGATATATTTTAAATAGGTGGTCTTCAAACACTTCAGAGACCTACAAGAATATGGCATTTAAAATGTTTTAATAGCATAAGGCTTTTCATGACAGTGAGACACGTCTGCTCCTAACAGCACCAATTTACTTCAACAGATGATGACAAGCATCAAAGAATATCCAGCTAGAGTTTGCTTTCATTGTGGTAAAGTTAGCCACTGGGCAAGAAACTGTCTCAACTAATGACAGTATGCTGTCCAAACTGGACAAGCAGAAGACAAAAAAGGCAACAGATGAACTTTGCCAGAACAAGGTAGGACAGACCTTTAAAAATTTCCTGCTTCACCAAAAAAGTCTTTCAAATGTTCTAAGCCTGTAGACCAAAGGTGGATGCCCCAATGTTGCAGAAGAACCTTGGGGTGACTGTTCATACAGTCAGTTGTCTCTGTCATTTTTGTAGTTTTAGAAGTTGCTTGCTCCACACTTCCTGCTTACTAAGGTAATATTATATCCTTCTCAGATCTCTGATGGGGTTGAAAATTAGATAGCTATAGTTACAGTTTTCTTTAGTTATGATAGAAAGCAAATTAGGTAAAAAACTTTGGACTCAACAATGTAATATAAATAATAGAGTATTTTTTTTCTGAATTTGCCAAATGCAAACAGACTGGACATTGTGACTATAATTCTTACTTGGTAATTGTTCCTATTGCATATAGTTTTACAATGTTAGAGTTTGAATATTTCCTTTGTATTTAGACAGAAAGGGGAAATGTTGCAGGAGAATTGTTCACACCGCCACTCTGAAACTGCCAATAAAATTAAACCTTAATTCCAAGGGTGAGCCCACATTCAGCTGGCCAGAACAAACTCTATGGTTCTTGGTGGACTAAAATGAGTCGAGGGAGACACAGGGAGGTAGAAGGAAAGGTTTAAGAAAGATTTGCAGGCTTTTTGATGTGGAAAACATGGGGAGTAGGGCAGCTGATCATTCCCTCAGTGTTCTTCAGATTTACCAGGTTTCATCACAACTTCTGACTCCTGTTAGTGCTTTACTTTTCACTGCTGGGCTATGGTGAACAAGGTCAAGTATTCAGCAATAAGGGCTTCTTTCCTTATATCTCACTGCAGATATTTCTTGGAAACCACGAAGGAGACAGCAGAGCTTGGGTCTGGGCATTCTCTATACAGGAGACTCTGGTGTCTGTGTGGCCCTTGTTCTCACTCTTGATCCTAGGTCTTCCTTCCCCAGCTCCTCATGACTAAACTAGAAACTTCAGGCATGAAGTAGGAACACAGAACCTAGAGATGGCACGTTGGCTCTTGTAACTGGGAAGCATCCATGTGCCGTCCACTTTGTCTGCTATATACTCTGTATCAGTACCTCTGTCCATACTGTGATGGTCACTTTCTAGAATTTCTATGCCCCTGCATTGCTTTCCCTTTTTCCCTTCATTTGATTTTGTCCTGGCTTGCTTTCTATTGCCATGATAAAATGCTGGCCAGAAACATGGGGAGGAAAGGGTCTATTTCAGCCTACAACTCCCAGGTCACACTTCATCACTGAAGGAAGTCAGGGCAGGAACTTAAGGCAGCAACTGAAATGGAGACCATGGAGGAACACTGTTTACTGGTTTGATCTCGAGGCTCATGCTCAACCAGCTTTCTTATGCCCCCCTTTCACGTGTGGCTCCACCCACAGCGAACTGGGCCTTGTCACATCGATTATTCATCAAGAAAATGCCCCCCCCAGACCTGCCTACAGGTTAACCTGATGGAGGCATCTTCTCAGTTGGGGTCCCTCTTCCAGATGAACCCGTCCATCTTTCTCTATCACTTCTCTTTCATATCCCTTCTTGTGAACGAAACGAAGGGTCCTCAAAGTCCTCTCTGCCTCAATACTCCCATTCTAGCCATTCCGGCGTATGGAGCTAGCAGGTGTTAGTGTGTACTGCTCGCCACAGCAGGCTGCTCCACACGCATCCTTCCCATGTGGTGGTCACACAGCTCCACCATTGTGGGGATGGATACTCCACCATGTTCTCTGTCTTGGGACTATGGGGGAAATGAATTCTTGCCATTTCACTGGACAGGCACAAGAAATAGCCTGCTAGGTGGAAGAGGGAGAGTCACTGGAGAATCATCTAAGCATCCGGGAAGAAAAAAAACAAAGCCCCAGAAGAATAGAGTGACTCAGAGGCAGACAAAAGATTGCCAGAACCCACCTCCAGGTTGACTACCCAAGACACTGGCTCCTGCAGTGTCCAGTGGAGTGATGACTTCAAGATATGCCTCCCTATCCGAAAGACATTCCTCTCGCTGTCCAAGCTCCTAGACACTTAAGCTGTATGTAGCATTGGAACGCTTCATCTACTTAGAACCAGCTGTGCTGACAACTGTCTTGTATAGAGGTGCTGTCAACACCGAGTGGGTGAAGAGGTCTCTGAACAACCAAAGTGAATGAACTCAAGCTCGGCCACCGAAGCTCATTATCCTACACAAAGTAAAGTCACTCGACTCTCATGTGGAGGCTGTGCGTGGCCATTTAACTGCAGCTCTGACAAGCTCTGGTGCCCGGTATCTTTGCACAAATACCAATCAGAAGAGGAACAAGATGGACGTGACTACAGAAACATGCTAATGGCGCTAAAACGAGGTGCCCTGCGAACATGAAGGTCTGCAAAGGCACTAAGTGAGAAGGTGGTGTGAGAGTCAGAGCCGCCGTGTGAGAAGAAGGCCGCCTGACCATGCCATTGGTCCATTAGCAGCTATTACTTTTGGCTGCTAGTTAATTTAAGAAGCTGTGCGGGTATTTTTCACACACATAACGTTGTGGTAGGGTGGCTCATTGGTTTTATTACAAACCTTCTGTATTTTGCATCTCTGTTCTTGGAAGGTGGATTTATATTAGTTACTTCCTTTGTTATTGTGATAAAACACCAGACAGCGTAATTTAAGGTGTGGTGTAGTTTGGCTATGGTTGAAAAGGAATAGGCTATCATGGCAAGGAAGGCACATTCCCTGGAGTGGCTTGTCCATGGGGGTCAGGAGCTTTGGCATGGCTTGTTTCCATGTTGATGGGTCAGAATGATGAGTCCAGAACTAGCCAAGGCTTTTCTTCAATAACCTACTTCCACTACTGAAGCCACAGTTCCAAAAGTTCTATAGTCTCCCCAGACAGAACAACCATCTGGGGTCCAAGTATCCAAACATGTAAGCCTCTGAGGGGAACTTTACCTTCAAAGTATAATGTTCTGCCCCTGTGCCCAGTAGGCTTAGGGCCATCTCACAATGCAAAATACACTCAGGCCAACGGCAGTACTCTTTATCGTCTTAACAATCTAGTCTCGACAGTCCCAACATTGTTCAGAAGTCCCAAATCTCATCTGAGACTCAGGCAAACTCATAACCATGAGCCCTATACCACCAAAAACACTTTCAAATTCCCAATATGCATTCCCATCCCACAAAAGTGGAACAGAGTGCAAGAAAGACTGGACAAACATAAGACCTAAACTAAGTAAGGAAAACATTAATTCTTGTAGCTTCATGTCTTGCATCCAGGGCACATGGTAGCATCATCTGAGCTCCAGCAGGCTTGGGTAGCTGCTGCCCTTCTGGCCCTAGCATGCACAGCATGGATAACCCTTTACTTGGTCTAGCCACCACTCAGTGTTTTCACTTTTCTTGAGACATCCCATGTTCCCGGCAAGTTCAACTGGTGATCCCCGGGGTCATCAGTGCAAGTTTTCATAGTTTCATGCATTGGTCACTCAGTAATTCCCTGCAAGGACTCCAAATCTGTTACACATTGGGGTGGCCTTATCGGCTTTTCTTTCTTTTTTTTCCAGAACCTTGATGTGTGCCTCCATAAGCCTGTAACTTGAATTCTGCATGCTTGCAAAGCTAACATCACTTGGATACCAAATTCTATTATCAGCTGAAACTGTATTCTGGCCTGCTGTGGCCTCTTAGTGTTTAAGTGGCTGAACATCCCTCCAGCAACCCTGAGTACTGCACACTTGTGCCCCTAGTTTAGGTGCACTCCTTTTATTTATTCCTCTAACTCAGATATAGCCTGGCCTCTGCCTCTCCAGTGCTGGGATTAAAGGCATGCAACACCACACCCAGCTAGGTGCTCTCTGTTTTAGAACTTCCCCAAAGTAATTTGTATCTCATCCACTGGACCTTTCATAGGTGAGATTTTTTTTTTCCTCAAAGCATGTGTCCTATCCCCTCAGCGAGAAGTTCCCCTTCAATGGTACTAACCTAGTTAAAAATCATAGCTGCTTTATCTGAAGCATTAATCACACTTTTTGTAACTTTCTCCTCCATTTCTTGCTTTGAATTCCCACCACAAATCTGACTAAAAGCAGTCAGCAGCAATCACACTGTAACCTGAATGTTACACTTCCATAAAGTTTTCTCTACTGAGTTAATTAGCCCTTTACTTTTCCATTCAACCTTATTAAAATTTTCAGGACACAGGCAGAATACAGCCCAGCTGTTTGCCAGTGTGTGACACGAATGGCCTCTTGCCCATTACTGACTGTCTCTGCTCCTCTTTGAAACCTCACGAGCATAGTCCTGTCCACATTTCTAATGACATTGTGGTCATGTCAACATCCAGCAGGATGATCCGTCAAGCTTTGCTTACAGCATCCTGGGTCTAAGGCCAAACTATCATACTCCACACCCCCCTTGCAAACCGGTTCCAAAGGTCAGTGAGTTACAGGGTTGGATCCACCGCAAAGAGCGGTACTGATTTTCTGTACTCCTTACTTTCCTTGTTTCTATGACAAAATACCAGGCAGAAGCAACTTGAGGGAGGAGAGGTTTGTTTGGGCTCAGTTGTATCGTGTGAGACCCATCATGGCAGCAAACATGGCAGACAGAGTGACTCAGTCCACGGCATCAGAAGTTTGCGGCAAGGCTTGTTCACACAGAGCAAGGTCAGTGAATGGAAGTGAGGACCTGACTGCTCCAAGGTGTGGTTGAAGAGAAGGGTTTTATTGTAGATGTGAGGGAGAGAATAGCCTGAGGCGTCTGGGAGAGTCCAGGCTGAACTGGACCTTGAGAGGAGAGAGCAGGAGCGGAGGAGAAGAGAGAAGGAGAGGAGAGAAGGCAAGTGGACCAAGAGACGAGCCAAGGACCAGGCGAGCACGTGACTGAAGTGACAGGTGTACACAGGAATCAGAAGCTAGGGGAGGGAATTGGAGCTCCTGGGCTGGGAGGGCTAAGGGGAGGGTAGGGGCAAGAAGTGCTGGGGGGAGTCACAGGTACTGAGTGAGCCATGTCCAGGGTTTCTTTGGG